TAGTAGAGAGGTTTATATAGCGGCTTCGTTCCGGGGATTAGGTCGATCGTATACTCTACGTCTTTAGGGAGCTTGCGTCTCGCTTTGGGCGTTATTATAAAGACGTCTTCGAAGTCTTTAAATTCTTCTAGCAAGGAGGAACCTTTAGCGATATCGCGGAGCTAGCGAACGCTAATTGTATATACGTATAGGGCGTTACGTATATCCTTCTAGAATTCCTATAGTTCTCGTACGCGTATCGAACGCGCTACGGCTTCGTTCCTATAGGTCTAGGCATCTGTCGAGCTATCGACGATTACCTTTTAATCGCGCCTCTAAGGCCTGCTAAGAATAATATTAGGGAGGGGCATCTCGAAAGCGTAGAACACTCCGGTAGTAATACGTTCTTAGCCTATAGAGTCGGCGATCCGCAAGCGCAAATAATACGCTCCGTAGTAGTATCCTCGGTCGCCCTAGAAACTATCGGCACTAGGTAGTATAGTATTAACAATCCGCTAAGGCTAGTATCGTAGAACGAATTCTTAAGATACTATATTAATGTTAGCAGCATTATCTAATAAGTATTCGACAGACACTTCCCCTTCTTACGTAACAATTGCTCCGCGTACGCGTCCTATAGGTACTACTACTACTAAGCTACTTAGTTGAGATTCCGTACCTATCCCTAGCTCTTAGGAGGTGCCTTGTCTTTTCCCTTAGCCTTCGAGTCGTTCTTCTTCTCTTTAGCGTTAGCGGCTACCTTACGTACCGTAAGGTTATCGTCTTTCTAGAGATAGCGGTTCGGGTACGCGTTCTTATAATAGCCTTTCTAGCGATAGCTATAATACTCGACCTTGCTAATATTATACCTGCCTTACGAGTTATCGCCCTTCGTATACTTTCCGCCTGCGCTACGGTCGCGATTTAACTGCTATTTATAGGCCTAACTATCAGATCGACGCTTCTTGCCTTTACTACCTCTAGTTTTATCGTAGTTACGATCCTTGCGTTTACTAGACGGCTTATTAGGGGTCTCGATGCGCGTCGCAAGCTCTACGAGTTCGTAACGCGTCGTTAGCACTATATAGTATTTAATAATTGCGCTGCGAATCGCCGGCTAGAGTTTAACGAGGAGATAGCGGATCCTATACTCCTCGCTATAGTCGCTAAGTTAATCTTCGAGCACTACGAGCTTAAGGGCAAAGCTTTAGACTAACTGTCCCTTACGCTAACGGGCCGCCTTATACTCGAGGGTTACGTCTAGTATGCGGTTTATAGGGTCCCCGACGCAGTCCTAATAGAAGGTTTTAAAGTCCTAGTAGGTATAATTTTGTAGGTCCTTAAGGCTGTTTTTATTATACTATCGCTCCTACGCATTGCCTACGAGGTATATAATACTATAAAGCACCTTGCTTTCGTCTATATAATAAGTAGCTCCGAACAGTATAAAGGTAATAGAAAGTTCTCTAAGGAATCGCCTCGACTCCTTAATTGTATCGCCTTTAAAGGGCTTAGGTTCCTTTAGGCGAGGCTTAATAGCCGCAAGACTAGCGACTACGTAGCTTATACTAAGTATAGGGGCTACGCTTAGCGCACTTCTAGAAAGAGGTAGTCGATACGAGACAGATTTAGCTCTCTAAGATTTAGGCCTCTAAATCGACTTGTTAGCTAATTCTTTCTCGTCCTTATCGTCGTCGTCGCCTAAGGATAGAGTTGTTATAGGACCCTCGCCGGTAGTACCGCTACTCGGAGCTAGCGCATCGCCTACGTCCCTAAGGGCATAAAGACGCGCATTCTCTCGCTTAGCTTCTTAAGCCTAGACTTCTAGCCTAAGCACTTCTTACTTAGCTAGAAATCGTTCGAGCCGTAGGCGGGTCGCTTCCTAGCGCGCCTAATGTTCGGCCTCGTATTATTATATCGCTACGTCGTTTTCTAATGCTATAGGCGCTCCTAATGTATTATTTTGCGCGTTTCCCGCGCCCGGCGCGTTCGGATCGCTTGCGTTTATCTTTCGGGGTTCTATAGGCCGCTACGAAGGGTAGACAGTTTAGAACTATAAGAAAATAGGTATATAGCAACGTATAGAACACCCTCTACTAATCGCCGTAGTAGAAAGTAGAACTAAACCGTGCCTTTCTTAGAATAGGGCAGAGCGACTACTATTAACTAGGCCTAGCACGGATAGCATATCTGCCGTGCCGACTACCGAGTATATCCGTACGAGTAATCGAGTATTACGCGCATGCGCTAAGTAAGCTTATCGCTAGCGCGGCTGTATCGTACTATACGTAATAACATTATATAATTGTTATATAGGCTTGCTAAGGCAGGACAGGAGACTTTACTTGCTTAGGTTCTTATATATATAGAGCCCCTATTGTCCGCCTAAAGGTCTTCGTATAGCTAGATATAACGAAGTTAAGGTTGTCTTTCTTCTAATTAATCTTACTCTTAATGCGTTGCTTCTACTACTAGAAAAGGCTCAATCTACGGTCTGTAATATTAGCCTTTAAACTCTAAAGAATCCGCTTATTAACGAAGGCTATAGAAGTCGTGTTTAAGGCCTTCGCTTTACTATAATTATAGCGCCTCTTATAATAATCAAAGTAGATAAACATCTTCTAGATAAGCGTATAGATATCGTTACGAGCGCTCTATAGCTAGCCCTTTAATCTAGCGTATCTATTTTTAGTAGAAGAGGTTGTTATAAAGCCGAAATAGAGGTATTAATCGACCTAGGCTTTTATATACTTCTCTTTATAAGGCTACTATTGCTAGCTTAGATATAGTACGCATTCTTGCTATTAAGAAGTCTCGTTCTTGTCCTTTAGCTCTTACTAATTTATGTTAAACTCGGGCTTAGTTAAGGCGTTAATATAACGCCTATAGTCGACTATAAATTCCTTAGCTTAGTCGCTCGGCTTCTAGCGTCTATTAACGCTTTCTCGCCCGAGTTTGTCTATAGCGTAGGCTTCTATATTAGTATCTATATGCTACCTGTAAAGCAAGGTCGGTATATTTAGAAAGACTGCGTCGATTGCGTTCATTTTAGCGCGGTCTCTATCGTAGAAAAGGACTAACGGTTCGTCGAGTTAGAGTTCGTTAAATATGCGATCTAAGTAGCCGAACGCGAAGCGATAATCTATCTCTTTCTCGCTAGTTATTAGATAGTGTACTAAAGGCAACGTCTAACCTATTAATGTAATAAATAAGATATAGAAAAGAGGGATCTTATAGAGATTGGTTTTGTAAGTGTAGTTAACGACTAGTATATATCCTAACTCCTTGTAAATTACTACTATTTCTAGGTTAGTAAAAAACAGTACTACGAGCCTGTCCTTATTATCGACTGCCTTATTAAACTAATAACCTTCTATCTATAGTATTTCTAGCACCTTCTCGATAGGCGTAGAGCCTTAAAGGTTCTTAGCTCTAATCTTCGTCTACTCGTTATAAATATTACGAATAACGGGTCCTATTTCTATACTGTCTTTAACGAACTACTAGAAGGCTATAGCTAGTGTCTGCTTCGGCGAGACACCGCATCTACGATAGTTAGTAAGAAAGTCGCTTACCTTATTACCTTTACGCCTACGACGATAAAAGGTAAGGCTAGAAGAGTCGACTCTAGCGTAATTATAAAGGGGGTTATTACTAAAAGAAAAGGTCTACTTGCCGTTAGGCGCTAACTTATCGATAGCCTTTATTATTAAGGAAAATAGACAGCCTAAAAGGTGCGTATTCTTTACCTTCTTCGGCTCTATATCGCCCTTCTTTTTTAACCGTAACTCTCGAAAGCCTCGTTAATACTTTATAGGTATAGCGACTTCTATCCCTTTATTATTACGACGGACTCCCCTATCTCTTACGACTACGAAACCCTCTTTCTCGCTAAAGTCTATTAAAGCCTCGTAGTACGCTACGTACGACTAATACTTAAGAGGTTCTAGGTTCGTAATAGGTAGCCGCTCGAGGGGCGCGGTAGCGCGTAGTTAGGGATTAAGGCCTTCGAAATACGGCTCTTCTACTATATTAGTATCGCTAGCCGGCGTAGTTAACTTACCTTCTTCTTCTACGACTTCTATAGGCGCGTTAACCTACGTTAATTAATCGTCTATAAAGTTAGGCTTATTAAGAAGCGCTTCTTTATAGTCGAGTATAGTACTGCTAGGCGTAGAAGCCTTAACAATAGCCGCTATAGCGACAGCGAGGTCGATATATACGAAGAAACGCGGGTTAGGCGCGGAATTCGTATTAGGAGGAATAGTAGGTTAGGTATAGGAGAGAGATTATTCTATTTAGTAGTATTTACTAACAAAAGAATCGCTAAGACCCCGCTATAGCGACCGACTCCCTCTAATGTAAATCCGCCATTTAAAAAAATCCCATCCGCCATTTATACAAACCCCCTCAATACTGCTGTTATGGAAATAGACTTTCGGCGGCGGAGAAGCGAGCCATTCAGGTGCGCGCATTCTAGCTAATCCTGGTCACAGCGAAGCGAGGCGCGTTTCAACTTTCAAAGCTCACTTTTCGTCGATGCCCACGACACTCTTCCTTCAACACTTCTTACGCCTCCAAGTCTTGCTTACATTGCACGTGCATTGACAGCATCCAATCCATCAACATCGCAACGATGCCGCCAAAGAAGAAGAAGGCCGCCGCATCCAGTTCATCGCAGACTGGCCGCGATGCGCCAAACACCTTCACTACCAACCGCGGCAAAGAGATCGAGGCGACTGCTGCAGCGCAGCGTCCAGTGCGCGCTACGCAACAGGCGCAACTCATCATCCCATCTACCGAACCAGGCAGAACTCCTAACCCCAAGATTGTGCCATGTAAGCTAAGTATCAATGTGCACGATCAATAATGACCCAGACTGATCTATTACAGCTGTGGTAAAGTTTGCCGGTCGTGCTAAGGCAGCGATTGCTGATGATCTACCCAAGCCCCGCGGTCGAGGACGTCCAAAAGCCGCCCCTGCTGCTGTCACTGCACCAGCAGCAGCGACTACCTCTACCAAGAAGCGAGGTCGGCCTGCCAAAGAAGCAGCTGCTGACGAGCGCGAGCCACCGAAGAAGCAAGGTCGGCCTGCCAAAGAAGCAGCTGCTGACGAGGGCGAGCCACCGAAGAAGCGAGGTCGGCCTGCCAAAGAAGCAGCTGCTGACGAGAGCGAGCCACCGAAGAAGCGAGGTCGGCCTGCCAAAGAAGCAGCTGCTGACGAGAGCGAGCCACCGAAGAAGCGAGGCCGTCCCGCAAAGAGCGCTACAACTGCAAAGAGCGCTGCACCTGCTGCACCATCCAAGAAGCGCGGTCGTCCAACGAAAGTTGGCAGGCGTGGCAGGCCAGGCAAAGTAGAGCCAGAAGCTGTTGACGATACCGATGCCGATGTCGATGTCGATGCTGTCCCTCCAGAAGATGAGCAAAAGGCTCCCAAGAAGCGCGGTCGTCCACCAAAGGGCGGCCAGACCACTAAGATGGATGTAGACGATGAGAATGCCGCCGAGCAACTAGAAGAAGAGCTTCTCGACGCTGCCGAAGACGAGCAAGAGGAGGAGGACGCAATCGACAGTAGCCGCAAAGCACCTGCACCTAAGAAGGGCAAGGCGAAGAAGAACGATGCAGCCGACGTCGAAAATGATGAGACAGCCGCTATATCGGGTAAGCATTATTGGCTGATGAAGGCCGAGCAGGACGGGCATGATGAGACTCTGAAGAACGGAGAGATCTTCAACACCAAATTCACCATCGACGACCTGCGCGCAAAGACCGAGCCGGAGCCATGGGATGGTATGTAGTCATGCTTCACATCCACTGTACTGTGATATTAACTCGATTCTAGGCGTCCGCAACCCAACTGCCGCAAAGAACCTCAGAGGTATGAAGCAAGGCGATCTCGCATTCTTCTACGCTTCTGGCGGCAAGAAGCCAGCCATCGTTGGAATCATGGAGATTGTCAAGGAGCACGAACCTGACATGACTGCCTGGGATGAAAACAGCTACGGATATGTTGAGCAAGAGAAAGATCGCCAGAAGTGGTGCGTCGTCTACGTCGAGTTCCGCAAGAAGTTCAGCAAGCCGATTACGCGCGATGTGCTTAAGAAGCATTTCGACGAAGGCCCGCTTAGTAAGATGCAAGAATTCAATGCGGCGCGTCTAAGCGTGTCGAAGGTGTCGGAGGATGAGTGGAACTTCATCAACGGTCTCATCGAAGATAACGGTGACGGTGAGGACGAGGAAACCGATGATGCTCTGCCAGGAGCCGAAGAAGAGGCTGTCATCGCTATTGAGAAGATCGTCACCAATGGCGAGAAGGCGACCGTTGACACTATGATCCAGCAGGATAGCGAAGCTATCGTCACCGAGCCGCCCAATGGCGACATCGCCATCAAGCAGACTGTCGAGGAGGACATTGACCTTCCAACACTGCCAGCAACTTTCGCGGCACCACCTGCTAACATGGGCTTCTCAACGTCCATCGAGCCCGACGTTCCGACTACAGATTCACTGCGCTCCGGCGGACCTTCTAGTGGACTTCCATCATCACGCCCAACCTCGCGCGGAACCGGCGCCAAGAATTCGTCTCGTCCGACATCCCGTGCAGGAAGTCTCGCTCCACGCGCCAAGGTCGACCGCGCTCGGAGCCGTAGCAAGACTCCACTTGCACGCGGCAGCAGCGCTCAGCCAGAGACTGCTCCTGTAGTCGAAGGCGCTGCCATGCCAGCCATTGAAGAGTAGATCAAGCTTCTGGCAATCATATCGCAGAGTTGACTACGCTCTGCCACCTTGCGATCTATCGCATCGATACGACTTGACGCGCCCATAATTCCGCTTCTCGGTAGGAAAGAAATGGGCAAAGAGGCATATGCTATGCTATGAGGCATGAGCTTTTCTGCAATTCCGAGCTTAAGGCTAGAATTACCCATTCTTGCTGTAGTCTAAGCACTAGCTCACGAAATGCAAATGTACTGTACCTTCAGAGCCAGTTGACATCTGTTCATACTGTGTCGCACAGCTCCATCGAATCTCGAAGCGCCTGATTCATGCGTAGGCGCCAAATGACTAGACTGACATCTTGAGCATTGGTAACAGATTCATGCTAAGCCAATACTAACTCTTGCTGTTCCGTTGCACATCGAGGAAACAACAGACTCGTATACACGGAGATGTAATGCGGAATGAAAGCGGGTCGTGGCGAAACAATCAAACATATATGAGCACAGAGTCTTCGGAGTCAAAGAGGAAAGAAAGTAGAATCAACCAAATAAAGGCAATATTGCTCGTTCGTCGGCATCCAAATGACCATGGCTTCCAGATTCAACACGAGCAACACGGCACCTACCGCATCAAGCACGACCAGGACACAAGCAGCACAAATCACCAACGAGCTTCCAATCCGTGACATTTGGGGATGTAGATACTATTAATTATATTTTCTATACTAATGCCCTCACGACTCCAGCTCTCCGACTTGGCTTGTGACTTTTCATCACAGCGATCTATTGATATTAAGGTATGGAGCTCTTCCAACGAATGCGAGGAGAGGATTCTGGTCAGGAATGTATACATGATGTTGTTTTTTTTAAGGGGGAAGGAATTTCATGGAGAGTTTTCTGGAAGCTCAGACTCTGGATCATTTGTACGACTGGGACTTCTTTGTTGCGGTTGCTGAGGTGAGCTGGAGTGAGATCAAAGGGGTGATTGAGGAGACGAAGATTGTTTTGTGGTTGTTAATGGGAAAGGTTGGGGAGTTGGCGGAGAAAGATGCTATTCTCTTGAAGTCGAATTTTGTCTCCTTCGTGCATGACCATGACGCGGATGGTACAACGCGTCAGAGGAGTGTAATATCCGTGTACGACTTCGGGAGACTGGTGTACTCGTTCGGATTCAATTTGATAACTCATCGTCAGGCGGCAGATTCTTGGGCTTCTCAATCTTGTCTGGTCGCTTCGAACTCATTTGCTTGCGATTTCCGCGTTGCCCTCGACTTTCAGGGGGCCATTCTACATCCTCGCTTGATGACATTCAAGGCACATCGTTGAGGTGCAAAGTTGAAGCGCGAAAATGTAGAATGGTAGGCGGGGATGCCATTAGCAGTTGGGCTCGTGACTTCAAAAACGTCCCGAACGGGCGGCGTGAAGTGCAATGCAGATTTGTTTTCATTCTGGATTACAGGGGCTAATCGAAAGTCAGCAAGGCAGTCACTGGAATAGAAATTGAGAATAGCGGAAACTGGTCGCTAGGACACTTTGCTCGCAATTCGTCTTGGCTCAAGGCATGCTATCATTTCTGCAACCCATCTCTTGTGGAGCATGAAGCAAACCGATCGCCTGATTCAGATCGAATCGCGCTGAACAGAAGCATCTATGACTAGCTACTGGCTTTTAAAGTCTTTCATGCTTTCGTATCCCTTCTCCATCATACCAACAATGCCGCTGTCAGAGTGGCGAGACATCTAGTAGCGCTTGCCGTCACGGAGGACGTCAGAGTACTCCTCAAGTGGGGAGCGGGTGAGCTTGGTCTCCTTCCAGAGGTTAGGAGTGAGGAAACCGTAGGTGTTGGTGATGGCAGTGAAGGTGGCCTTGAGGGTGTTCTCAAGGGTCTTGGTGCTGCCGGAGGAGGCGGTGTAGATGTCGCTGACACCAGCCAGCTGGAGCAGACGCTTGACAGCTGGAGATGCGACCAGGCCAGTACCGCGAGGAGCTGGGATGAGCTGAGAAGGCTGTTAGTATGGGGTATGGCAGAGAGATCAGAGGACGCTTGAACTTACCCGAACGGTAACGGAACCGCACTTGCCAGACTCCTTGACTGGAATGGAGTGAGGGTCACCAAGGTTGCTGCCCCAGTAACCACGACGAATTGGCACAACGGAGAGCTTGGCAATGATGATGGCAGCGCGAATAGCAGTTGCGACTTCCTTGGAGGTCTTGATACCGAGACCGATGTGTCCCTCGCTGTCACCGATGACGACGATGGCCTTGAATCGGGTACGCTGACCGGCACGGGTCTGCTTCTGAACTGGCTTGATCTGTAGGAATCACTGTCAATATGTCGTCGCAAGCATTGCAGAATGTAGTTGCAGCCTCACCTTCATGACCTCGTCCTTGAGCTTCGGCAGGAAGAAGTCGACGATCTGGTACTCCTTGACAGGGAGCGAATGCAGGTAGATCTCCTCCATGCTCTTGATCTTGCCGGCCTTCACGAGACGACCAAGCTTGGTGACTGGCTGCCACTCCTTCTCCTCGCTCTTTGCACCACGGCGGCCGCGTCCACGTCCACGTCCACGGCCTCTGTCACCGCCACGACCGCGGTCACCACCGAAGCCTCCACGGGCACCACCAGCTGGTGCGGCGCCGCCTCTGTCTGCCATTGTTGCTGTCTGTGTGTTGTCGTTGGGTGTTGAGGGATGCGGCTGCGACAGTGGGTGCGGTGCGGGATGCTCAGTGGCAGAGAAATGTTCAATTCGAGCTTGTCGAGATCGGCGTGGGCGGGGTCTTGGCGCCCGAGTGCCGACTTTTGTTGTGGTTCGGATGTTGCCGTTTGTTTTGATTCGAAAACATCACGACACGCCCACATCCACCAACGACATTGATAGACGATTAAACAACGGCGCGTTGTCGCATAGTTGCCAGCGGAAATGGACGACTTTGATAAGGAGAATGTCATGCCGGCGACGTCCAGCGACCCTCTCGCCCGCAGCAAGGGACTGTCGCCGTCACCAAAGAAGGCAAAGAAGGGCAGAAGTAAGAGTATCGGCCCAGGATCTCTCGAGGAACCAGCACCAGAGCCCAAGATCAGTGCAAGGGATAGGCGGAAATCAGCATTCATACCTGCAACCAAGAGTATCTTGTCAAAAAATGAAGACGCCGAACGAGCAGCGCGTCGTAAGACGATGGTCAATCGTCGCGTGTCTTTTGCGCCAGAAGCAACACTGCATACCTGGGACATTGTTATCGATACAGCCCAAGACCAAACAACGTCGACCGACTCGAACGACAGTACGCGACGCGCCTCAGGCTTCAATCGTGACTCCAGCTCTCCTGCCGCCAGCTCCGAGGTGGATGCTGCCCAGGAAGCGGAAGATAGGCAGTTGCTTTCTCCTCCAGAATCACAGCATGCTGGCAAGCAGCAAAAGAAGTCCAGGAGGAGCTCTGGTGTCCCGCCAATGAACTTCAACAACCCAGACGATGCCTTTACCACAGACGACTCCAGCGGAAGCGATGACTCAGGCAGCGATGAAGAGGCAGGCGAGGATGGGGATGAAGGAGACGCAGAGGGTGAATCAGACGATGGCGAGAGCACTGCCATGAGTCTTGACGTGGGCGATGCAACTATCCGATCTGAGGCTGCGAGCGAGGACAGCACGAGCTCAAGCCTGACTGCTCGATTACAGGCAGCTGCAGAGATGGCCGGCACAAGAGGCATCCAGTACGACGAATTTGGCGACGATGTTTCAATGGAGATTGCCGAGAACGAGGTCACAAACGCAATTCAACCTTGGATGCAGCAGAATCAGCTTGAGCGCATCGGGTCTGCTGGGCTCGATCAGGAAAATGTAAACCCATTCTCGCCTGCCTTCAAGGCCGAAGTGGTTGCGCAGCAGCATGACGAGAATGTCGAGGAAGAAGACATGAGCATGGATATGACTCGTGCAGTCGGTGGGATCATGAGAGCACCTCGCGTTGCACAACCCCAAAGTTCTCCTGCCGCCAGCGATGGCGATGGCACGATGGACTTGACGCAAGCAGTCGGAAAGATCACGGGCCAAAAGAGACGAAGATCAACCACAGACTCGGGTTCGCCGGCAGCCGCCCCTAAAGCACAGAGCAAGCGGAGACGATCTTCGGTCGCTCGCTCTTCGGTGGGTGACGAGACGATGGACCTTACCATAGCGTATGGCGGCATTCAAAACAATGGCTCGCCTGCGAAGCCAGATCGTAGGCGCAGCCTGAGATCACGCAGGTCTTCTGGCATGGTGTCTGACGCCAGCGACGCGACCATGGACATGACTATGGCAGTAGGAGGCATCAGATCAGCACCTCGCAACGTGCAAGATGAAAGCTTCAATGAGAATGAAGAGCTATCCATGGAGCTCACACACGTCCTTGGCGGCATTCGTGATGGAGTTACGCCTGCCGGAGGCACTCAAGTGGCAACTCCACAAGCAAAGTCACCTTCGCAAGGAGCAGCTAAAGTTACGCCAAAAGACCAAGAACGTTTCAAGAACACTCCAGATCTCGGAGCTAAGCAGCTTCTGATGCCTTTGCTACAGAAAGAGGCTCAGAAGACTGCTGAGAAGCCCAGTCCGATCAACAAAGCTCGACAATCGCTTTCACCAATGCGACTGTCAGCATCGCCCGCCAGACGGCAGTCCTCGAAGGAGTTAACCCCTACACAGAAGGGGCCTGTCTCAGCTCAAAAGCAGACAACATCGAGCGACGAAGCCTCGTATCCTGTGCTGCCTCCGGCTGAGGAACACAATTCGCCTGTTCGCACGCCGACATCGAGTCCAAAGCGAAGGCGGAGTCGAAGAAATCTTAGCAGTGAGCAGCGAAAGTTCGATCAGCAACACCAGATTCCGCAGCAGTCACCTATGGCCGACAAGCAGCAGCGATCATCGCCATTGAGGCACACTACCACAACGCCAGAAAGGCCGAGAAGCTCGGATGAATCAAAGAACCTCAATGATACCATTGGCATGATGGCAACGCCGAGGAAAGAGGCACTGAAGACTTTTACGCCAAAGAAGCAAACGCCAGCGAATCAGGCATCTCCGCTGAAGGCCATAACTCCACGAGGACGACCGACTGCGAGAAGCGCTGCTACCGTGCTGCCTTCACCTGTCAGACGTCTCAACGAGGATTTGAAATCTCTCAAGTCCCGAAACGAGAACATTGAGCCAGTGGGCCTGCAGGATTTTCTCAGCAAAGCCAACATTCGTTTCATGGATCTCACAACGACCAAGCGACGTCTGACCACGGCTGTGCCTCCATCTCAAGGCTCACAGGATGTCCAGGCCGAGAAAGTTGACCTCGAGAGTGGCGTTGTCGCTGCAGCGTGCACTATCCCCGAGCTCGAGCTCTATCAGCATGCCTGCCATGAACTCAAGCGCTTCACCAAGGAGGGCAAACGTGTGATTGGGGAACTGGAACAGGAGACGAGAAAGAACCAGCCTCCACTTCTTCAAGTATATATGAATGCTTCTCCAGACAAGAAAATGGTGCTCGATGCTGCCATGCGAGATATGAAGACCAATGCTCGCTTGAGGAGCAAGGAGATGTGGTATGCTTGGCGAAGTCAACTTCTGGAAGAGCTCATGGGCGGGCTGTCAAAAATAGGCGAGGGCCTGATCCAGGACGTCGAGATCTTAACACAGTCTGAAGAGGTTCTGGACGAAGCTTTGCCTCCTCTTGTCAAGCAGCATGAGGAGCTGCAACAGGAAGCAGACATTCTTGAAAAGAGTGCCAAGGAGATACCAGAGGAGGACAAGGCGCAGCTCAACGAAGTACGAGAAAACCTTGTCGATATCAACAATACTGTGGCGGAGAAACGCAGGCTTCTCAACGACCTTCGTAGGAAAGTGGAAGAGCAGGACAACCTCGCCGAGCATCTTCAGGATAGCAAGCAGGAGCTGATGGCCGCTATACAAGAGTCCAACCGCGTTCGAGAAGCATGTCGAGGCGTTTCTATTGAAGAAGTCTGCAAGCTCAAAGGTAAGTCATGCAGAGGAGCAATACCAGAAGACATCTCACTAATAATCTATCACAGAATCTGTCGCCCGCCTCGAATCCGAATCAGGCTGGGCAATCACCTCCGCCTCCTCATCACCATCGACCATAACCATGACGTACCGCTCCCAAATCCAGCTCTTCTTCCACCCTCGAGCCTTCAACAACACCAACCCCAACAATCTCGGCCAATACCCCAACGCCCCAATCAGTCTGACCTACATCGACAACAAAAAGCAACCCCTAACCACAACCCTCCGCTTCTTCCTCCAACTCCTCCAAGCAAGCCTCCAAGCCATCCCCCAACACCAAACCAAAATCTCAGACCTCCTCTCCCTCGTCTCGAGTAGCTGGGACCAAACCACAGAAATCTCGGAAAGCGAGCGAAGACTCGGCCTCGAAACTCTCACAACATCCCGCATAACCAGCGACGAGGAAATGCAAGTCATCGCCGACGTCTTGTTACCGAACGTGCGGACGAAAGTCCGAGCTCGTTTCGAAATCTTTGCGAGCGTAAGTTTGGCGGCTATGCAGATGAAAGTTGTCGTGGAACCTAGAGTTGAGGTGGTTTATGGGGAACTCTATGATGAGAGGAATATGACAAAGTATTTGAAGGGTTTGGTGGGTGAGGGGTGGGATGAGGCTGTTAGAGGTATGTGGGGGAAGTTGGTTGCTAAGGGGGCGAAGGGGGAGAGGAAGTGAGTAGGTGATGAATGAGGGAGGGGAGGGAGGGTGGGTGGGTGGGTTGAGTGTGATTGATGAGTGAGTGTAGCCTTATGCAATAAGTGAATTTGCATTTGAGGATCAGAATCGGGTCTCCTCCATGCTGCGTCGGTCTTTGACTGTAATGTGTGTGTGATAGTACTTGCCTTTCTCTTTTCCTCGACGACGCTCGATGCTCGTCGTTCTGGAATCTAGTAACTTTCCCTCAGATCTTGCTTGAGCTTTTTGATCGAATCGATGTTCTTGAGACTGCACTGGTCTGCTTGAACGATCGTTCCCAGTCGTCCTTCGTATTTGTGAGGTACGGCCAAACGACGCTACAGTCCAGTTCAATTCGTCTGATCGGTCCTAGAAAAAAACTTCTTCTTTGACGTGTGAAGGCATACATACGGCTTTATCATGTTACTTTCTTTCCCGAGAAATATACTGACGGTTTGTTGTTCACGAAACATCACTTCTCTTCGCGGGGTTGCGGGTAGTCGTTTCTCGATATCACTAAAATTCCGTCTTTGGGGAGCATGCGGTCTGTCATCGCGTTTGGGGTTAGGAGGTTTAAGGGATCTAGATGAGTAAGGGGCTTTTTTGTTTCCGGCAAGGTTAAGTCGGAATCTATATATATATACAGAACTAGTAGTCTTGTTACTCAACTTGATCACCTCCCGTCACAGTTCTTTGGCCTAAAATTTTGTTGCCGGAGGGAGTGTTTTTGTCGGTTCGGGGTGAAGCAACAAGTGGGGGATCTCGGTTGCTGATGTTGTTGTTTTTTTGTTGTTAGTGTGGGAATTGAATGGGACTTTTCGTTTCTTGAGGTCGCTGGATTGATTCAAATGATCGGCCTTGTGCTCATCAACATCGTCGTCTTCTGGCGATTCGAAGAGAACTCAAACTTCGTCCAACGTAGTGGCGAAACGATCGACTTCCCTGTCGAGTGCCATTTCGTCGGCTTCCGTCGCTGAACGCAGATCTCGCACGGTGATTAAGAGATGTCGGCACGCGGCTCTTTAACGATCCTTTGAAGTTTGAATAGTCCCATCGTTCGGCGTTCCGTATGAAAAGACCATGGTTGTTGGTATTGGTAATTGGTATACAATATGTACTGTACCAAGCACGTTAAATTAGAACTGCAAGCATCTTGTAAACCCACGCGGGCTTCTCGAAGAAATGTTGTTGGGGGCGGTGCTTCCCTAGTATCCGGGGTTGCGTCAGTCCACTTCACCCCTCGCCCCAGCTCAGCGGGGTGAAGTGTCTGACGGAACCCTAGATATTGTTGTAGGGCGAAAACCCTCCGTACCACAACAAGCTTATCCTATCATTGAATATCGAAGCATGGCTCTTGGCTCTTGGCCCTTGGCCCTTGGCTCTTGGCTCTTGGCCACTTTGACCAGTTCGCATGCAGGTGCCCGCCTAACCGTCTTTGCCGAAAGTTGATGATCCATATACTGGCACACGAGCGGAGCTCTACCAACATCATGCGAGCTTAGGCTAGTGGAAAGCACGATAGGGGTAGCAATTACTGCAAGCGGGCACCTCATGCCTTTGAAAAGAATGGACTTCCGTGCGAGCAAGTGCGTGGGAATAAAACTGAATTGTTGCACATTGTGATTGTCCGCTGGATCAATGATTATCCGAAACATAGACGGAAGGAGCTTTCCGATGGTTGTCGGCGCTTCGTCCCTGGGCCTGCCGTGAGGTCCTAGCATCGTTCGATTTGTAAGTTGTTCCTGGCTGAGTTATAGTGAAGCTTCCATCCTCACGAATCCTCATGGGTATTATATAACGCTTCTCGTACGCCATGATCATTTCATTTCAGATATGGAATCAGTCATAATAGGAAGGCATTATCCAAGAAAGAACCTTCTTCAGGGGCATCGGCGTCGAATGGCGGTGGTCGGAGGTCGAACTTCCGCAGACATGGCTAGGAGCAAGGCTGCTCCTTCGGCAGATCCATCTTGCGGAGATTTGTCCTTTCCTGGCACCCAACATGTTGCATGCTTGCCTGTGATGACAGGCACGAGTCGTTGTGTGACAGATGCCAAAGCTGCAGCAAACACCCAACATTGCCGCTTTATTATTATTGGGTTCCAAGTGGCAAGGATACATCGGTTCGATCAGGCAATGCGCTAGATGACAACGATATCCATCGTTGTGTGTCCGGGTATGAGTGTCCAGGAAGCTCGCACTCACTCCGAGCTGAGAGTCGGGCCGCGTATGAGGAGAGGTTGGTTGTGCCAAGACTGAGACGCATCCCGCGCTTGTCAATTGATATTTTGGGGCCAATTTGGACGTAATTCGTCGGCAGGTGAACGTGTCGCCCGTCGAGGGTAGTAGTGTACGTTGTACGAGTGGCTCCTCTGGTGGTCAGCGCTACGAATAGCGAAAAAAAAAAGCTGGGGCACGCACGGTGGCGTAACCGGCTAACTGCCGATCAGGCTGCCCTGGCGAGGGTTGTCAACATAGACCCTAGTGCTGTTTGGTGGTGGTGCTGGTGCTGGTCGTCACCCTTGATCAAGCGGCGAGGTGGACGCCAAACTTCTATGCGAAAGACTTATCAAAGATGTCACGTGACATGTGCAAGCCTGGACTGCTTCGATCAATCAGGCTGACTGCAACGCATATGCTAATCTGCAGTGTCGCAGTTGTCACACACTCCCTTTGGATTGCACGTCTGTCTTGTGCAAAATTTTGGTAGCGCATGTCTTCCCTTCCGAATCGTCGTGTCGTGTCATGGTCAGATACGATCGGGCCTGGTTCATCAGGATCTGCGAGAGATTTGAACTTTGCCGCGGAATCCTTGCAAATTTCCATCTCCCTCGCAGCTTACTCATCCAGCAAGGTATCTTTGCCCAGCGCCTGGCCGTGATTAACATTTGAAGCTAGACCGTCAGCTCATGAACGAAGACATGCATTGTTGCCGCACGGTTGAATTGTTTGAAGCTGATCAGACGTGGAGCCGCTTATTGATCAGCATTATTATTGGTGATACGCAAGACAGCATATCAGCAAAGGCCACAGCCGACACTCGAGGAAGGAAAGAAACAAGTTCCGGTATCCGCTCGCGCAGGATTCGGGCGTGGAGAGTGCCAAGATGGATCCACGATCCGCTGCTGACTTTCATCTGCGATACGTGATGACTACTGAGCCGACTCCAACGAGAAGAAGAAGAATAATAATAGCATCATCGGATGGGTCAGAGCAACCAATGGTTTGTATAAATCAAGCTTTTCTTGAGTGTGGTCAAGCAAAGATGCCGACTGCTGAGAGTGGTTTCGATTGGTAGGTAGGTAGGTAGGGGCAGGGCTGGGCTGTGACAGTTGCCACGCCGCTTCGAGGCACAACGCTTCGTCGAATGTTCTGTATCTGTTGGCGATGTGGTCCCGAGAAGCCTTGATTGGCCGTGCGACGATTCTGTACAAGTCCAATGTGCAATCCCATGAAATACGCCAGCTGAAGCCTGACTACTGCTGCAGTTGTTGTTGCAAGCGACTGTACAAATCAAGGCAGTCAAATGTAGCTGGGTATAGGATCAGCGCCGAGCCTCTAGTACCAAAGCAGAGCCTGCTCCGAGGGCGACTAGGGAAGTTAGGGAAGGCCTGTGGAAGTTATTACAGTACGATTAAGCGAGATGGCGGACGGCGGTGATCCCTGAAAACGGGATCTAACTGGTTAAAGCTAGCGTACTGCCTAAAGCAATTATCCGTACCTTTAAAAAGCTCACGTCTAACGCTTTCAAGCTAGCTGCCGTTTACGGGGATTACCCCCGTCCGCCATCTCGCTTAATCGGGGTGTACTACAGTAGTATGTATAGCGGAGGACAGACCGAGGGCCTAATTTGATGCACGCTAAGGCGAGTGGAGTGCATGACTGATGGAGGAAAAGAGGATGACAAAGAGATATCAACTGGACTCACTACTACTTGGCTCAGCTCGCAACGTCTCGCATCGGCCTGCGGGCATTCGATAATGATATCAGGAGCCTCGGTACAGGAAACAATGAATGGGTGAAGTGTCACTGATCATCACATTATTACCTGCCACCTGCCACCTGCCACCTTTTAGAGCTTCCTACACTCGTGCAAGCAAACCAAAGCAGGAAAGAGCACATGGCGGAGCGTCCCAACACAAGGGCTTGTTGTTGTGTATGTGTGCTTACGACGTGCCCTTCAGTGTATACCAGGGAGGCCACGCTGCACAACGGCCGCTTGAAGCGACACGTGGCACATGCTGTCCACTACTGTACTGTCGGTAGATAGGCGTCGCAGTGCGGCGCGGCGTCGATCGTATCATGGTAGTCATTCTGGTAGTGACAGTAGTGCACCGCTCTGTCGGTTCGGTTCTGCTGTGCTGTGCTGCTGCGGAGACGGCTGACTAAACGCCACGCCTGGCCTGGCCTCGTATACGACATGTACCGACGACGCATGTAGTGGGCGGCGTGTGCGGTACGGTACTCGCTACAATAATAATGAATTCTCAACGACCAGCAGCTGCGCATCTCTCTGACATGCACCCTGGCGCTCGAAGCGCTTGCAGTACCGGGTCTGCCACTGTGCCACTGTGCCAGGTGCATATCGATCATGCATTGTGCTGCGCTGTGAGGAGGGTTATGTCAGCAGGTAGATAGGGTGGTGGTCAATCAGTGTAGTATTCGATAGAGCTCTAAGAGGAGAGGGAGGAAGGCAGGCCAGTTGGCCTAACGCTAAGCGCTAAGCCCTGCCTGAGGCATTAGGACCCTGGCCTCACTCGGCCTAGTTACATACTAATCACGTATAGCCTCTAATATACGCTTCCCTTCTAAAGGCCGCGCCCTCGTAGCCTGTCTATATCCTACGACCTCTATTGCCGCTAACTTAGTAAGTCTAATAAGCTGCTTAGCCCGCGCTAAATTAAATACTTAACTACCTAATTATATAACTATATTAAACCTTACCTTCTAACACAATATCTAACTCTAACTACGCTATCCTTATATATAATAAAGTAGAGGGATATAAAGCTATAAGAATTAAGGGCTATCGACTAATTATAATACGAGCGCGCCTACCCTACTATAATAGGTAGGCGTACGAGGTATTATAGTACTGCCTCCGTTCTAAGTAATATCGTTCCGAGTTCTCTACGTCTACTCTAAAAGACCTAGAAATGTCCGCTCCGAGGGTTTGTCCGTTCCGAGGGTTGTTCTTATTATTACGAGGACTATTATTTACTATCGTAGTTTTACTAGCCTAAATTAGTTAGGTTTAGCAGCCTTTAAGTGTTAACTAATTATATCTTTTTAAAAAACTCAGTTCTTCTAGTTTCTATAGGTAAAGGCTGTTATAAGTGCAGTAGTAGAGGTTCGCTTTGCTTAGAGGGTTAGATAGATCGAGGAGTAACCTATTGTTCGCAAGATCGACCCCGGCTAGCTTAGCTCTATAGTTTTGCCCTTAGTTAGTCTATTAGCCGCTTAATCTTTTAGGCGGCTTAAAGTTTTAACTTAGCCTTAAAGTTTTAATTAAACCTTTAATAGGTTCAATCTTTTAACTTAGTTAGTATAGTGCTTTAGGCTCGTAGTATAGGTAAGGTTAGCAATAGTAGCGAGTAGGTAATGCTAACAACAGCGGCGCTAGTCGTCTTAGCGCTAACTTTACCTTGCTTCTAATTTCCTTCTTCGACTAATAGCAACTCGGTAATACCGTTACTAATATAGCTGTGCCCTTCCTTTCTTAAATAGCAATATACTCCGCAATACTATTACTAATATAGCCGCGCCGGCCGCTAGTATACTGCTAGCTCGTAGCGCGATACTATTATCTTCGATAGGATAAAGAAATAAAAGGGGGACCTAATACTAGGAGGAGGCCCTATAGGGCGTATTAGTAAAGAGGTAGAGCCCTTAAAAGAGCATGCGATTAGTTAACGCGTTATAGCGCGCTTATTAATACTCGGTGCGCGTTTACTATAGTAGTATAGTCTTATTGTCCTAGTTTGCCGGCCTCTAATTAGTTAGCTAATAGCACCCTAGGGGTAGCATTATTCCTAAGCCTTAGTAACATTACGAGCTTTTAGCCTTCTTCTTATTCTTTACGCTAGTCTAATACTTATCTAATAACTCGGTTATGTCCTTAAAGGAACTTTCAGCTTCCTATAAGTCCTATTTAGGTAAATAGCCTTGCTATCTTAATAGGTACTCCTTCTTGCCTTACCTAGTCCGATGCTTTAGGATACGTTCTATAGACTATAGCTCTTTACCGTCGGCTAGTATCTCTTTATATTTAGCAGGGGCTTCTTTAGGGCCTCCGCGGTAGTAGTATAGTTTAAGGAGGGAGATATAGAAGGTGTTATAGATAGTGTAGTGTAGTAGGAGCTATAACTAATAGGCCTAGCTATTGCCCTTCGGTTCTCGGATTCGGAATAGGCTAATGTATCTTAGTGTAAGCTTGGGCCTTGTTTTGCTGTTAGGTAACGGGTGTTTGCGGATACGGAGGTTCTTAGTACTTAGTATAACTATATCGCCTTGCTTGAAAGTTATTAGCGTATAGTGTTTGTTATAGTAGGCCTTCTAATATGCCTAGGCCTTTGCTAGTTTGTTAGCTAACTTAGCGTAAATCTCTCGCATCTTTTAAACCCTCTTAATAGCCGCTAGCGTCTTAGGTGTTAGTACTTAACGCGCTTCCCTTTCCTTACGCTCGGCCTCGAGCGAGGTAAATAGATCTTATAGTAAGGCGGCGTTCTAGCCTATTATAGCTATATATAGTGAAACCTTAGTAGATAAGTGTATACTGTTGTTATATACGAATTCTGTAGGCTATAGGAGGTTAACCTAGTCGTTAGGGTTCTCGTTAATATAACTGCGTAGGTACTGCTATAGGGTAGCATTTTGCCTCTCGGTCTAACTATCTGTTTGTAGATAGAATGCTATAGACAAGCGATACTTAAGTCTTAGCTGCAGGCAAATCTCACTCTAATAGTAAGATATAAATATCGAGCCTCGGTTAGAGACTATCCCCTTAGGGGTTCCCTAATAGCTATAGAAGATATTATTCTACAGTGATTTAGCTAAGTTAATAGCTGTCTAATCCTTCCTAGTAGGGATATAACGAGCGCCCTTAGTAAATCGGTCTACGACAACTAGGATAGCATTATATATATCCTTGCTGCCCCTACGCTTAGTAGGCGGGAGGCCTATAATAAAATCCATTATAAGCTTAGCAAATAGCTTCTTTAGGATAGGGAGTAAAGACAACTCGCTAAATAGTAAGTGCTTTAGTGCTTTAACTCGTTAACATACGGTATACGTGTTTACGTAGTCCTTTATATCCCGCTTACTATTTAGCTAGTAGTATATACGCGATAGTAACTCGTACGACCTCTCTATACTATAGTAACTAGCAAGCTTACTATTATAGTGTCGCTTAAGAAGCTCTTATCGGATCGAATGCTCGGTAGGGACATAGAGCCTGCCCTTATAGCGCAAATAGCTATTAGTATCAATCGACTAATTCTTGCTAGATCTAGTCTTGCGGCCACTTCTAAGCTAATCTATACGAGCCGTAGCAAAGGCGTCCCTCTACTAAGTACGTAATAGCTTATCTATAAATGCTCGGCTATTACCGTCTGCAAGTTCGCTTAATAGCACCCTCGCTATCTTACGTAGTACGCACTATATATATCTAGTAGTACTAGCAGCCGGATTAACTGCATTAGTACTATCGCTATTACTATATATAGCGATATCGACTAGGGAGTTATTATAACTTCTCCTATCTGTGTCCTTAATACGTACTATTAGTATAGTAAGAGCATTAATATGCTTTAAGCCGTCGCGGAGTCTAGTAAGCCGCTTATCCTACGCCTGCCTTACTATAAGGTCTATAGCAATCTTATACTATAGGGTTGGAAACAACGAATTAATAGATTAGGTTTCGCCGTCGTAATTAGGTCGCCTCGATAGGCTATTAGTAGGGTTGCTTACGCCTAGCCGATATAATATATTAAAATCAAACCTAGCGAGGTAGACGGCCTATCTAGCCTGTCGACCTATAACCCTAGTAACCTTCGTAATTCTACGGAGGTTGTTATAGTCCGTATAGACCTAAATAGTGTACTAGGTACTATCGAGATAGTAGCGCTAGTACTTAAAGGCCTCGATAATAGCTAAGAGCTCTTACTCGTAGGTCTCGTAGCGACGTTCTATATTAATTATCTTCCTTAAGAAGAAGGCAATCGGGTGCTAATAATAGTCTTTATTAGACTACTAAGACATAATAGCTAAAACAGCAAACTGCGAAGCGTTAGTCTTAATACGAATTAGTTTACTTAGTACGAAATAGTGTAGTAAGGGGACTTTAGTAAAGCGTTACTTTAGACCGTTAAAAGCGGCTTGTGCTCTATTAGTCTATTTGAACTCTCTAGATAGGTTAGCCTTAGTTTTAGTAAGTTCAGTTATAGGCATTATATGCCGTAAATAGCTCTTAATAAAGCGACGATAGAAATTAGCGAAGCCGAGGAATAACTATAGCTCCTTAATTAACGTAGGAATAGGCTATTTAGTAATGGTTTTAATCCGATTAGGATTAGCCTTAACACCCTTAGTTAATACGAGGAAGCTAAGGAATAATACCTCTTTAGTAGCAAAGGTGTATTTAGAAGGTTTGCAATATAGTCTATAGGCTTGTAGGCGGTCGAGGACCTTACGGACTATAGCCTAGTACTCCGCAATATTAGGGGAGTGTATATAAACTAGGATGTTATCTAGGTAAACTATATAGAGGTAATCTAATAGGCCTAATAGGGCCCGATTAATATAGGACTAGAATGTAGTAGGGGCATTAGCTAGCCTAAATAGCATAACTAAGTACTCGAAATAGCTATAGCGAGTACGAAAGGCTATCTTCTATTTATCGCCCTTACGAATACAGATGCGGTAATAGGCGTCCTTAATATCTAATATAGTATAGTAGTAGGTACTAGAAAGGCGATCGAGGGTCTTATTAATAAGAGGAAGTAGACAGCGGTCTTTAATAGTAATAGCATTAAGCCTACGATAATCGATATAGAGACGTAGGCTACTGTCCTTCTTTAGTACGAATAGGATAGGGGCACTAGCAGGGCTATTACTATATCGAATTCGACTATTAGCTAGGTTTTCCTCTAGGTACTTATATAATATAGCTAGCTCTCGTTTACTAAGGTTATAGAGGGGACTAAAAGGAACCTCTTTACCCTCTATAATGTTAATCTTATAATCCGTCTCTTTAAACATAGGCAATGTCGATGCTAGGTAGTGTTTAAACACCTCGATATAGGTCTCCCTAATAGTCTAGAGTATACGAGCGAGCTAATTAGGGTCTATACTATTAGGAGGCACAGGTTTATCGTTATTACTACCGAGTAGGTCGGCAGTAGGATTAGCTAAGGCGGAGGCAGGTATTAAGTTGCTAATAAATAGGACCCTAATATTATTAGGACACTCGCTAATATCGATATGTTTAATGTCCTCTTTCCTAGCGATTCTAAATCGCTACTATTAAAGGCCTAGGTCTATAACTATAGCGTAGTACTTAAGAACAGGGTTGCTAATAATAATATTAGAGGGGAGGCT